TGGTGAAACAGAGGAGGAGGCTCAAGAAATCCCAGATTTAACCATTAAATTTAAAGGAGAAGAAGATAAACAGACAAATCCAGATGGGAACAAAGCTCCAACCAGAAAATCCAAGAGGCCTAGACTTTGTGATCCTTTACTTGTCGCGGGATCAGCATTGCTTGTGTCACTTATAGTGATTCTGATTCACTTAATCAGATCCAAGAAAAGATAAAAACAACACACCATATAAATCTTCTGCTCTGTGCAAATTGCATTTGGTGATTACCGTATCTGTGTATCAGATGGGATATAACTAGTTGGAGAACTGTATCAAAGGAACATTTTCATATTATTGAAGCGAAGATGGTGCAAGACAACCTTCGCATGTTAAAAGAATAAAATTTCTACATTGACCCTCATCCCTGACTTGATATAACTGGAAATAGAATTTTAACATTTTTTTTGTTTTAACAAGTTCATTGCTTGGATCGAGAATCTTTTGCTTTGCAGAAATTACGTGACAAGAAATTGCTGGAAACTAGAGTTAAAAATCAAAGAAAAAAAAGAAACAGCATGATGTTAAAAAGGGCAGAGGAAGATTTTACTCAGAGTTAAAGACAAGAATCTGATTTAATATGCTCTACAACTAAAAAGATGAATCCAATTTAAACCCAGAAAACCCCTAAAACTTTGTTTCCATACCATAGGATCTTCTTTATATTAATTTATACGTTCCAATAATTAAGTAATATTATTATCAACATTATCTACCTCATAACGAGGACACATAGGGAACATACATTCTGACTCACATACCTTCTTGTTCATTACAACTTGTGGTCGAAAAAAATACTGATATGTTCTTGTGTTCTTGTTGCAGAGTCAATTTTTTCCCGTAGGGTAGTAAAAAAATACTGGCAACCAACTGGGGCAGGGAGGCAGAAGACCTGATATGGTAAATTTTAATTGTGTGACAGTTTTTAATGGAGGCCACCACCACCATAGCCAGTGGGTCCTGCTTTAAACGATTACATTAAATTCGGCAATAGAGAAATCTGAAAGCGATGATCTCTGGTCAGAAAGCTGGGAAGTTGATGGAAAGTAGTAAACGTAATCTGGGTTCCTGCAAACCCATACAGCGATATTTAAAAGCTGGAACTGAATGCAAATAAGCATTATCCATTCGTATCCCAAAAACAAAAAACAATAGCTTTTAGCAATTATTATCAAGGCCTAGATGGCATTATTATAGCCAAGTGTTTCTCCAGCTCCTCTGGTGGGTATCCAGAATATATCAATTCTACTTTTTTAAAAGAGATGTTATAGTCCACCAACCATGCTGCTGCTCCATAGAAGCCAATCTGAATGCGATAGATGATCCGTTTGGTACCTTATAATTACCAGATAAAGAGAGGTAACAGAAAAATAAGATAAAAGACCAATTCAAGAATATAATCAAATACATGGAGCCATTTTCAGCTTCAATAATTGAACGAATTAATGTTTTGACCCACCTGATTAAAAATGGGCAAAACGTCCAGCTGAACCGCCTGCTTAAATCAACCTGCAAACTGCAAAATCGCCTACTATGTAGTCAAAGAGTGTGACAAAATGATGGTTTATATATTGCAGAAAAATTATCCTCCATAGTATCTTGTGCATGACCTGTATATAAATAGTAAATGTTTATTTAACAAAACAGGAACTCAATTAAGCCAAAACAAATCAAGCTGCAGATATATTCCTCTCTTCCTTTTTAACAGAGGGAATATTATTAAACAAGAGACTGGTATAGTTAAAATGATGGAGAATAAGATATCCTCATAGAGATTTAGCTACGAAAATACTTTGCCAACACCCAAGTTTGGAACACATCTGATAAGAAGACAAGATCGTTATGAAAATAATTCAGCTAATACTTGGATCTTGGATTTAAGAGCTTCTGTGCATCTCTACAGTGTCACTCCTCCGGACCACAATGATTGATCCCCCTTCGCTACCATGACAGCATGGTGCACTAGCTTTCTAACAGATAATTGTATCCTGCTCGCCCAGTGAGTTCAACAGTTCTAAATCTGTAAGTCTATCCTATTTTATACTGTTAGGTCTCACTTGGATCAGTTCCCTATTTAATCCTTATCTTATGCATTTACTTCAATTACAGCAGTAACTTGCAAGTAGAACTACATCATAATTTCTATATTTCAACCACTTTGACTCACCTCAAATTCATAAATTTCCAATTTTCACTTCTTTAACTGGGGGTTGAAAATTCATCCAAGGAATTTAAGGTAGGAGCAGATATGATTCAAATATGAATATTATGGTTTAACTCTACCTATAAAGACTAATCTAGTAATTCAGTGATGACATAAGATACGGATTAAATGTACATTACATCAATCATGCAGTTAGACCTTATTATAAAAGAAAATCCATTTTTTTTTTGAGATAAATAAAAGAAAATCCAATAGCAAACACTAAAAGCCACAGTGATTTGATTTTGGCCCAAGTCACAATCAATTTTCCTTTTTCCCTTTTTGCCCTTGGATATCTAGAAATATATTATACGGCACTTGTTACCTCTTGAAGCTGCAACCTTGCAGCGGCATAACCTGAATAGTAGTTCTTCTAACTTTAGCACTTGTATGTCATCCCTTTTCTAGGTGTCCATGATCACTACACCTGCAAAAAGTGACTTGGAATTTTGCTAGCAAAAAAGAGAAGAGTGAAAAAATTTTAACCTGGATAGAAGATAGGTGAATATAATTATAACCCAGGAGAGAAGGCGTGTTTTCTAAGGGAAAATATGATGCAAAGAGTGATCACAGCCGGGCCTCTTCAACAGAAGGCAACTTAAGGAAAGCTTTAGCCAACATAAACCTTTATATACCACACATACTCAAGCCTCTAACTACAAAAACAATGCAGATATTAGAAAAGGAAAAAAGAAAAGCAAATAACCAACTTTTAATGCATAGAGCATGCATCTCTATCCAACTTTATTATTGTCTTCTCTAGTCTAGCTCTTTCCCAGCAATCAAAAAAGCAAGCTCACTATTTCAATATACCACTTAGTTAATCCCACATAACGAAATTCCATGCCAGAAAAAAAATCAAAGTATGTATTGAAATACAGCTATTCTGATCTTTGATTGTGCAATACAAATACTTGCCATTTAACCTTCCACCCAACCTGGTGAAACTGCATGTCACTTTGGAAGTAGGCAGGAAAGGAGCTATCCAAATGTAGGCAGGCAAATAGACATAAATCATTGGAATCACTTGTAAATTCAAAGAAATTGAAGCACACGTTGCTTTCAAGTCAAATTGCAAGTTTTCCCTGTGTAGCTCACGGACTTTCTGCTATCGCCTAGATATTACTCAGATCATAACACAACAGCTTCCAGATACCTGGAAGACTTTCAAAGAACTTAATATGGGACTGTTCAGAAAAGAAAAATTAACAGATGCCATAAACTGATGGCTTTAAGAAAACGTGGCAACATTCAAGTTTATGTAGTACTTGAACAAGGTAACAAGCAAGGCGACTCAAATTAAAAGGAAGCAACCTGACAGTTATGAGATTCCTAAACTTTACAAAATTTTCTGGCCCAGCCCTTTTATAGTCGAAGCTCAAACTCAAACACTTACTACTGGAGCTTGTTTGCTAACTAATGCCATTCAATGTAAAAATTAGTTCACTTGATATAATATGATAACCTTGGCCATATTTCACCATTCAAACACTAGCACCAATATCTCAATCCATGTAATGCCTTCTTGAGTTGTTTGCAGGATGAAGGCTTCCCTAGTTCTAAAAATTCATGCAACTTACATTAGACATAAGCAGCATTAATAACTGATGAATCAGGTCAATCAGATTAATTGATAATGGTGAAGACAAAGGTTCCCAGTTACATCTATCCACAGCATATAGGAGAAGATCCAATATCATAAACAAAATGGTAAAATTCATGCTCTGATGACAAAGATAACTCTGCAGGTTCAGAAATCTGAAGGGGCTAATCATAAACAGCAACAACCCTTTGCTTTGCTGAATGATTGGCAATGAGATACAGCATTTAGTAACAAGAAGTTATAACAATTTCCTCTTTAGAACACAAACGTTATGTACCAAATGAAAAAGAAACAAAACCATGAAATCAGCTACACCAACATGATGCACTTGACTCAGAGCCTGATTATACGACAGCAATACAAGCTAGGCATCAGCACCAGGACCACGAAAGTCCGATTTCATATCCTAATTTTCTTTACACGATATATGGTGATAAATACATTGAAAAATTTCCCTTCTTACCATCTTTATTTTCAGAATATGACTCCATTTTTTCTTCTCTATTCCTGCTTGTCTGAATCTCCGTTGCATTTCAAGAAGCCAGTTTGCAAAAGTTTCCATATTCTGCCATAAACCAGAATAATCAGCCAAAAGAAAATTACTCATTGTGAGCCCTTCCTAACGAGTCAAGCCCCTCAGTTCGGCTGCGGACAATCCTATGAAACACATCTCTAACTTGTCGTTCCAAGGGGTCCAAACCCTCTTTTATTGTTTCACAAACCTGCGCCAACTCTTGTACTCTCTGCCTCACCTCTCCTTCCTTGTCCTCAGCCAATGGGAACTGTACCGAATCAGCCAATTCACTAAGAAGCCTTGAATATTTCTCAATCTGATAAATCTCCTTCAACAACCCACAGGAATTCTTTCTATCCCTCTTCTTCGATTCCTCCAGAATCCTCTCATGGAGCGACATAATTGGCGCCGCCCAGGTGAAATGCCTCGGAATATAGAAATGGACCTGCAGACCACGGTCCTGGCAGGGGATAGCAGCCACGAGAGCCCACATTACGAACAATAGAACCGAACCTATGGTATAGATGGGCACCACAAGCCCATTAGTAGCCACAATTTCGTTCCCGCGCGGAACGGTCAGGTTGGTTCCGATGGCCTGCAGCTGCCGGGCGGCAGACCAAGACCTCGAGACGCTCCAAGACAGAGATCGGAAGTGAGCGATGGAACGATGATGATGGTCCTTGGACGAGGAGCTGTTGTTGTTGCGGCCGAAGGACCGGTTCCTGTGAGCCAGTGTCCCGCCGGAATCCTTTTCATCGAGCATGCCGATTGCCAAATCTATTAGAGCCTTCTTTGCCCGACGAAACTGGCCTTCCCCGAGAGCCCTCTGCTTGCTATCCAAGGCACAAATCACGATATCAAGGAGCTTTTGCCACTGCCTGATCTGCTCAATCCCGTCACGGATCGCATTGCAGACGTCAAGGGCCTTGACGCTGCGCTCAAAAAAGTCGGCGACAAGGCGGTCCAATGGAGGTCTGTGAATGAGAGACCTGTTATTGAAGAGAACGACCCGGAACTCCTCCTGGCAGCAAAGAAACGCATCTAGGAGCTTTCGCACCCACGCCAGCGAGAGCAACTCCTCTGAAGTCGCCGACGACAAAACTACAAACCGATCAGTCACCTGCTTCTGAAAAGCTTCCAGCTCCACCTCGTGACTCCTAACCTCGTTCGCCCCCTCCATCGAATGGACCTGATCGCGCCGCAAAATCAGTACCGAACGACTAGAAGATCCCTGATAGTCCGTAGCTGGCATTCTCACATAGAATTTATCCCAAAATCGACAATGGCCCCCCTCTTAAAACAAAAACCTTTAATCACACTCACGAGAAATGAAACCGAAAAAAAAAATTACGGATCCTGCAACGTCAATTCCAAAGCCTTTTAAAGATCAGGAGTGTGCATTACATTTGATTCGTCCAGAGGAAGACGAAAGAGAAGAGATGAGGAGATGAGAAACCCTAATGGAAGACAAGGGATTTTATTGGGGAGTTTTGGACCGCGTTTTATGGTGGTTGGAAAGGGAAAGGTCTAAACTCACGAGCTGAAAATTAATTTACCATAATTAGAATAATAAAATAAATAATTAATAATAATAGCCCGATTATATAATAATCACAGTAATCTTTTTCATAATTTTTTTATTTTTCTCATTAGTGAAAATAAATAAAAATCATTAAATGGTAAAAAAAAACATTTCCTAAATTTAATACAAGGTCAGAGTAAAAGTAAAGCCTTTAACACGCACCGCACACGCAGCGGACACCGAAACGGAGTACGGCCCCGATAAAATCTCAGCCGTTGGATTAGAATATTCTGTCGTTTTCCACATGTTAACAGCGGGGGTTTTTTCACCTGGGAGCTGCGCTTCTGCTAATGCTTCCAAGACTTTTGTCATCGGGTGATGAACTAATTTCAGGAACGTGGGGTCATGTTTGTACACGTGGAAAACTCTGACTGGGTGAGACGCGGTCATCGGGTGGATGTACACGTGGAAGGTACAGCTGGGTCATCGTTGGCGCGTAATGTGGAGGTGGACTTGGTCTGATTCTTGTTCTAGAAGTGAGAGAGAGAGAGAGAGCATGACGGTTTGATGGGTCGTCGGACGAATTGACGATATTACCCCTAAACGAAAGTGATGTAAATTAGAAAATAAAAAATTAAAATTAATTGTTTTGGTCGTAAAAAGTAAGGGTCGGACCCAGAAAAAGGAATTGAGTTCATCATAAACAAATGTGATGGAAGAAATATATAATAATAATAATAATTTATGATAGAAATATTACGAAGAATATAATTGGCGTCCTTACTCGAAGAAGAGAAGGGTGATCTAGGAAAGTAATATTAATTTATTTTTTAAAAGAAAAAGTGTCATTTATGTAAGAAGTTTATAATCCTAAAGTAAATAATTTGTTTTGATTGGATTAAGATAAAAATTAATATCATTATATTATAATATTATGGATCGCTACATAAATATTTATATCCAGCTAACACATGTATTATGGATTTTTTTTTTTATTCATTTAAAAATTTAAACATTATTTGATGGATAAAAATATTTTGTTTTTCAATTGAATTTAAATTTAGAATTAATTGTAAAAAATAATTGGGGGTTTTTTTTTTTTTTCAAATTCTAACTAATTTAAAATTAATTTACCTTCACTATTTTTAAGTAATCAAGCATACCTCTAAAAAAAATAAAAACACATGAGAGAATCTCAGATATAAAAAACATTACACGTGTAGTTTTGCAACACTGAGTATTGCGCTCTGATCTTCATGGAAAAAGATGCCAATTATCAACAAACAAATAAATGTTATAGATACACACACACACATATACAATATTAGATATATAATGATTTGATACACATTATCTTACAAAATAAATAAATAAATAAAATAGAAGACTTTTGAGCAGCAGACAGAAAATTTTCTGGGTTTAATTTTTATTTGCTGTTGCGAGACCAAAAGAACTCAAAGCTGCAAGCAATGTTTCTTTAAGATCTATTACTAGAATGTGTGTGTGTATATAGTTGAAATTAGATTAGTTTAAAATATCAAATAGAGTTGATCTGGATCAAAGCTGGACATGTCTTCTGTAAGTTTGAAATCTGAATTTATTGAAACAAGAAAACACATGTTGTTGATAAATCAGGTGTGTGTTTGGTTAAATATACTTTATTTTTTTAAATTTTAATTATTTAGTATATAAAATTTAATCATGAATTACGCATTTAATTTAATTTAATCGTGATTTATAATTTATATTTTCAATTATTAAAAAATAAATCACATAAATACTTTTAAAAAATTCATAAAATTCAGTACATATAAATAATAATAATAATAATAAAATATTACACTCATGAGAGAACTGGGATTTCAATTGTTTAATTGTTCACCCGCTATGGGACTTTTTTTTTGCCATTCTAAAAATGTGTATTGATGTACAAACAAATATCTTATAGAAATTAATTTGGAACTTGCTTGACTTTGACTTGCTGTTTATAATTGGTCAAGAAGAAAAAAAATATATATTATTATTACAGATTCATGAATAAAACCAGTGTACGTCTAGCAAATTATATAATACAAGCTTATATGCAATTGTCACTTCATATTCAAACAATCAAAATGTAATGCCACTTGTACATGAGTCATGAAATAATAATGATATTTTTCAACCTCTATTTCTTTTTTCAAATTTTATTTTGGAGTTTTCTGAAAATAATATATATGCACATTGTAAGTTTTCCACACTGTTAAATTTGGGTCAGAAATATTAAAAAAGTGAAAACTTATGTGATTAAATTTATCATGTGGTATTTAGCACGCGTTCAGAATTGTTTTAACTTATACTTGAAGTTCAAAATATTATAAAATAATTGTTAACTAATTAAATAATATTCAATATTTAATAAAAATAACTATAAAAGACTTCGGCACTAAAAAAAAATAGAAATCTAGTATTTGGTTTGTAAATAGTTTACAAACTAATTAAATGACATTAACCAAAAACAATAAATTAAAATTTTTAAAAGTCAATTCAAAAATATGAAGTATCTTTGCACATTACAAAAGTGATGTTGATAATAAATGAAATATAAACTATAGTAATTTAATTTTATACCAAAGTAGTACAGAGATTGGCTATTCTAGCCCTAAAAAAGGAAGGACATGTATTTAAATCTCATAGGCTGTCTACTAACCTTTTGAAAAATTACAATACAAAATAAGTTGTTGACCAATAATCTGACGCAGCCTCAAGTCGTGTCTTGAATTAATTTATAGACCCACACTCAAAGTCTCCAACTTGTTATCTATAATTTTAAAATTAATATTTCTAGGCGGACCCTAATACACGGGGCACAATAATTTGAAACCAACAGGTTTGAGGAATTAGGATCATTTCAACATTAGGGATATCTTTTGCCTAAACCAACAATAAATGATTATGTTTATATTAAAACATTTGTTTTAATTTAAATAATATTTTATTAATACTAATATATATATATATATATATTTTTATCATTAAATAATAAATATAATTTTTTTAAATAAAAATAGACAATCTGATTTTGAACTCAAAATTTTTTAAGAAAATAAGAATTGACTAATCGTCCACCCAAAAACTTATTAAAAATGTAAGTAATATTTTATAATAATATAATTTCTTACAAAAAAACACACAGATAACTGAGAACAGACTGACCATTCAATCAAAAATTTATTGATAATTTAAATAATACTTTATAATAATATAATATAACATATGAAATATATATGTGGGATCAATGATGCAGCAAGAGACATGGTCTTGCCAGCCAGTTCTCATCAAATGAAAACCAGAGGACATAAACAATTTGTGATGGATTTGAAATGATCAAATCCCTCCCGACTGCATATAAGAAAAATGGTAGGGACCCATATGTTAATTATTACCCACAAGAGATGAATCTTGAATAAGTAAGCTGTTGATGATCTCAAGAGATGGGACCCTCTCTCTCCTCTCGTCTATAGCCTCTCCTAACATAAAAGTTTCCCAACCAAAGAGCATAAACCTTGATTCATCATCACCCTCTCTGGCCTTGACTTTGACAGATTCATCAAATCAAACAAACACTTCAAAAATATAACAAACACCACAAAAGCAACTCTCAGTCTCAATCTCATAACTTTTCCATGGTCATTTACTTGAACACCAAGTCATCTTTACTTTATTATACTATTACAATTATTGTACTAAGAGGGAAGGAAATAAATTAAAAAAAGTAGAGAGAGAGAGAGAGAGATAGAGGATGAAAGTTCGGAATCATTCTATAAAATTCCAACCCTAAACAGTTCAAAATTTGATCTTTTTGTATAACTACCATTTGTATTCCACGGCATATAGGTGGAGAAAAGATAAAATGAAAGGTGTAAAGATACAGCCTCAACTGGGACTTTAGGGGGGTAATGATGAGATTTCTGCAAAAGAAACGAGGAACATGTGAGAGTGATAGGAGAACGGTTTTTGAGAGAGCCAAGACAGCCATAAGTTTTGCAAGTAGAAACAAACATATGCTATTTGATGATTATGCAACAAATAAATAGATTATAGAGCATCATTAACTAAATAAATAGATCATCAAGCTCACAGAAAGAAACATAAGATCAGTTAAACGTGGAAAGCATAAGGATAATTGCATGTTCAAGTTAAGGAACATATTAGTGCAAAATCAGCAAGTTATACAATATAATATGCACGTAATCTGTGATACCTGAGATCCTTGCTTCAAGTTTTCCAGTTCTGTGTCAAGTAATCATAAGAGCAAGAAGCTGAGGGTGCACAAGGCAGATCAATTATCAAAACCTTTCAAGATGCCTGTTTCGTTGTCTTTAAGTGTGACATCAGCAATGAAGATGCTACCGGAATCACACCATCCACCTAATATATCCTTGCCGGAGCACTGCACCATGGATCAAGCCCATGTGACTATTGGAATCTATCCTATACTAACAAAATGATAATTATCATCTCATATGGCAATAAAACTGGTTATGAGTTGAAACCTGAGTTAAAACCTGGATAGATTATTAAGGCTGCACCTTTTGCTTCCATAATTATGTAGATGTGATAGCAAACACTAGTACAAGTTGAGAAGAAAGACAGACGAAAGCTATCACGCCAATCAAATTTAATGATATAATTTTACATTGATACAAAATTATGTTTCTCTTAATATAAGTTTTCTAGATGACCAATAACAACTTATCAGCCTTGGTTTCAATTCCTTCAGCACTTCATGCAGTTTTTAATGAAGAAAACAAGAGACAGCTGATTTGACGAAATTAGCACAAGCAGATTCTCATCCCTTGCATTGAAAAGTACTTTTTTGGTTGAAAAGAATGAATTAAAAGTTAGTATTCACAAGGTAAAAAGGGTTTTGCCCATTTGGAAAAGTGGGTATACAACTAGTTGCATGCCGAAATGTCTAAGAGGTCAACAAAATGTCCTCTATTTGAGGAAAGGCAATAGATTCTGAAAGTTTTAGTAAAAGGAAAGAAAGTTACTTGTGTATTTTTAATGAGCTATATCTGTCTGCAGGCTATTAAAACTGGACTGGTCCAAACCACTGTGTCATCGGTTCCCCAGCCCAATTGTAATTTGGTCAAATTACTAGTTCAAAAATATTAAAAAAATGATAAATAAAATTGCATGATTGTCTATAAATACAGGTTCAGACAGTGATGATTGTTGTTAAGAAGAAGCTAACAGATTATGTTTAAATTTGCAGTGTGTCTGCTCTGCAAACAGCATAAGTGTATATATAGAATTTAGAAGAATAAGGTACCTTACTGAACCCAAGCCAATTTGAGTCTCCTCTAAACGAAAATACCTTTCTGTTTTCAACCCATTGTCCACAGAAGGCCTGCAAGTATATTGTCTTAATTGCCATTATAACTAATGAAAATTCCAAGGCACTCCTAGCCAGCAAACTTTAACAGGGACGCTCCAAGCCAATAACAAGCAAATAAAGATTTGCCAATCTCTTTTGCAGTTTAGTTGCCTCTAAGCAAAACCCTGGTAGGAAAATAAACAGATCATGCCAAAGATCCAGTAAATTCAACAGCAATCACCTCATAATCAACCCCTTGTATATAGATATAATTGGAGTCAATCGATGAGAAAGCAAGGCCAGTAATCTGCAGTATAGACAAAAGAAAAGTTATGTAGCTGCAATTTCAAACCTGACAGATGCAAGTGAATGGAACTTCTGTAGCTTGAATAAAATTATAAACACTTAGACATGGATGCATTTGCGGAGAAATTCCCTATTACATGGCAAAATCTCCAGAAGAACCTAATTAGATAGACAGCCACAAAAAGACAAAATTTTAAGAATAGTAGTATTCATGATTAATTGTAATAGGCATGGCTTGAACCTACATTTCCTTTCCAGAGAGGCCAGGAATTGGCCAGTTGGACTAGAGCCATAGTCAGATTCAAGCAAATATTTGTTATCAGCCAAAAGCTCATCAGGTTGGCTTGGTTCCATGGTTCAAATCTAATTTAGTGAAGAAAGATACTTTCCAACCCATGAGTTCGTTAACTAATTCTGCATGATAGTGCTCAAGGAGCTAATGGAGAACGGCGTATTTGAAGAAACAGCAGAACTATGGTGAGATCCAAAGGGTCCTTTTCATTGTACAAAGAGTTGAATATGAAGCACCAAATGAACAACAAAATAAGCATGAACATACAGTTTGATATAGAGGAAACCACCATTGAAAACTCAAACCAACCTCATATTTTGAACAGTTTATCCACCTTGACAGCGCTGACCATCTACATTCAAGATTTCAACACAAATCAGAGCCTCACTGAATTAATGTGATGACCTTTTTATTTTATGCATCAAAATTTTCCTTGCAATAATGTAATTGAGAGTGTCCTTCCGTCATCAACAACAATATATATTTACTAGTAAAATCCTCAAGTAGAGGCTAAACTGCTAAAAATAACTCTTTTCTGCACTATTTCTATCTTTCATCCCAATAATGAGGATCTGAGATTGCTTATTTGGTAACTATAAGCAACTTTCACACTCTATTCTGATTAGCTATTTGATACTCTAATAGGCAGCATTCTCGTTAAGGCATAAAGTAATTTGAAGCAATAAAATATAGGTACCATATTTGTAACTTTTGGAAGGTGTTTATTTATTATCTAATCAATGTACTTATTTACCTCTTACATTATCTTTATGCCATTCATTCCATCTCGTCTTCAATATTTACTTCATTGTTATATAGCAAAATATATATTACACTATTCTTTTTCTTATCCAGCATTGAAGATTTACATGTATAAATTGCTATAGATAATTTGATTGAAATGATTTATTTTAAAAAAATAAAGTATAATTGAAATAAAAGAATTTATTTAAGAAAACTACTATACTTGTTAAAATTAAGAGCAATATTAATCTAGATCATAATATATTTTGCATTAAATATATATTCATTAAACTTAACAACTATTTTTTATAAGGATTGTAATATGAAAGGATTAAGCAGAACTTTAGAAAGGTTTTAAGTTTCCTGAACTCTCGAGACCAAAAGATTCTCTCTTAATGATTCCTTAGTCCATATTTAAGAGATAAAGATTCTCTTTCAACAAGCCCTTCCTCGTTGTTCAGTATAAATTAAAATCGTAGAAGATCCCTCAGACACCTTAACTCTAATTTGATTTTACATTACCCAGACTGGTAACCAGATCCAACCTGGGGACTATTTGGGTACCAAAACAGGTAGTCATGAGAGATTCCAGCACTCGAAACGTTCTTGAAGATGTATCAGAAGGACTATGTGCTGCACTAGGTTGAGGTAGAGCAAACTATGACAGCTTATGAGACATAACTAACAAGAAGTTGTACGAGCTTTCTAAAGAGTTTTCAGGTGCCCACATATTACATTGGAAGGAAAAAGTAGTGCTTGTAAGGGAAGAGATGAAGAGTGGCCAGGAGCTGGACTGGGAAATGATCAAACCGATGCTAGT